AAAGAATTTATGCTCATAACTTATGTTTATATAAATTAAAACATTATTTTAAATGTTTAATATAAAAGTGAACCATACGACGATATATACAAAATTTTTATTTGAACACTATATTTTCAATTTTCCTTTAAAATTCAGTGTATTCTTCTTGAATATCTTTGTTATAGTTTATGTCTACTATTGTAATAAAAATGAATGTTGAGTCCACATGTGGCCGAAAAAATAAAACTTATATACTGAAATTTGCAATAATTTTATAGATGAACATACAGGTAAAAAGATTAGTGAAATTTATTTGCTTTTGAAATTGACTGATCACGTATTTGGTTTAAAGAATTTGATTCTTATATTATGTAAATTTATAGTTCTATATTTATATAGCTTTTACAATGTTTTAAAATGATAGTTTTTTTATACAAATTTATTTGTATTCATGTCTTTGTGGATATTCGCATAAAACACTCTATATAACAATCTAGAATCAAGATAGATGTTTTTAAAAAATTCTTTAGTTTTTAATCGATCTCTTACATCACGTTTTTAATTTAAAGGATCAATACAAAAATCCTAAAATTTATAGAGACAAATGTCAAAATTAAGTAAAAGTAAGGTCATAAATTGAAAAAAATAAAAGTTATTAACACCAATAAAGATATATGACCGTCTCTCAAAGCTTCCCCAAAATGAAAATTTTAAAATATTATATAAGATATGTACTAAATTATATACACTTACCGACCGGTAGGAGAATTTGTGTCTTGACTCCGTTACGCACGCGGGGTCTCGGAACACGCTGTGTTAAGTCGAAGATCCTATAATTTCGTAGTCAACTATATAATTGACAAAATACTCGAACGGAAACAACCAAAAATACGTTATTTGTATATATATACAACCAAAATACAAGACTCGAACGGTAAGTTACTTACAAAATTATTTTCTTGTATATACTAGTATTAAATATCTTCCATACAAAAGAGAAAGACAGTTAAATTAAATATATAACTATTGCACAAAAACAATAGTTCGCCCTAGAAGATCTCTCTCAGGCACGCCGACTGAGGTAACCACCGACGAAGTTTCTTCACCGGATCGTCGTTCTCCTCCGTCGTCACCCCTCTCGGCTCCATGACGTCAGCTAAACAGGGTTCAGTGTCGTCCCCTAGGCTTCCAGACCTAAGTTTGGAGGCAGAAATGGCGGATAAATTTCCACAGCTTCCAATCCCCCCTGAACCTCCGCATGTAGCATCTCCGGTCTCGTGGCCCATGCCGTCAAAGCACGGTTGCGGCCTCGTATTGTTGTTGTGGACAGTTTGCTCTCTCATTGGATCTTGTTACCAGGTCTCATCCGCCCCTCGTGACTCACCGCTGTCTTCACTTGTCCCCACCTTCCGTCGCTGTCATATGGAAGCTGATATAATCTCAAAGTTATCACCTCTAGTGGGAGATAGATCCCATCCGAATCTTCGACAATACCATGACCACCCTCTGCCGCGTCTACAACCGGCTGGAATTTTCGCGTATAGCCGCTGTAACATTACATCCCGGAGGACGTCCTTCCACTTCTCCTCCCCAATGTCGATTACCCTCCGGAGCGAGATCTCAAAAGAATGGGCTTGGCCTATTTCAAAAGGTTTGTGGCGGTTTGGCCCATCTCGGAGGTGGCTACTTCCTCCGCCGCCAAAGCTCCCATCGCCTCGGCTCACTCTTCTGTTAGCCGTGGCTCCATCTTTCCCCCTCTTAACCACCCCCTCGAATTGGATCTATCCACTCCTCTCTATGTAGAGTCCGAACCGGCACGAACGCCGAGGAACCACCTCGGGGATAGGATAGAGATGAAACCCTACCGGCGTGTTTTCTTTGGTCCCTCTAGTCTCGGATCCAGCCGTGACGAAACCGAACAAACGAGCCCAAAATCCATCGGCAACCCCGACGAGAAACCTCCGGATCTTCACGGATTTTGTATGGTACTCTCCTCTCCGTCATCCTCCATAAAGAACGGCGAGTTCATGGACCTACCACCTCTCTGTGTGCCGAGATCACACTTTCGTTCCGCCTCCGACGAGATCGAGATTGAGATTGCATACCAAAGACGGAGCCGGCGAACTCTCAATCTCCCATATCATGTTTTCGCTTGCTCCTTGTTGGGCCTGGCCCAAGTTCTTTCTAATAATCTAAAAATATTTTGGAGCCCATTATGCAAAATACAGGCCATGGGTATTGCTCAGACACTTCGTTACTTGGCCGCGTATGTAGCTTCTAATGGCTGGAAAATTAATCTCCTCCCTGGCAAAATTCTCGAATTATCCCTACCAAGTGGTACTGCCTCTTTTGTCAAATTAGGCAAGTTCTTACAGAGCTCGTTAAAATTTTTGTCCTCCAAATCGAGCCTGAAGACACCAAACCGCCTTCACTGTGCTTCATTTCATTGAGCGTCGAGATTCATATCTCCACGTATGAGAGGACCAAAGTTTTCTGGATTTTTAAATCCTGTAATCCACTCCCGGTGGAATAGTTCAATTCCACCTTCTTCCATCTTTTTCAGACTGGTCATATCTCCTTCCCTCTCTTGGAGAGTGGTCGGATTCCCGAACTTTATGCCGGGTTATTCAAAGTCACAATGTAAAGTGACCAATCTGAGACTTTCCGGCCCTGCTACAAAGACTCTCCTGACGCATCTGATGCATGCCTTGGATCCGCTGTCCATCTTTCGCGATGAAATATCTATCTTAAGTTTGATTGCACTTCAATTATGTTGTAATATGTTTAGAGGATGACTAATTCTCTCACACTTTGTATTGTTGAAAGGTTAATGAATAAAGTAAGATTGTGAACAAAAAAAAACCCATAGCACGTTTTTGATATGATGACATAAACAATTCATCGTAATGTGAACAGAGATGGGCCACTCCAAACCTAAGAGCATCATTAATGGTAACCCCTTTAAAGGGTCTTAAATAATTTTTTAAAATTAGATTTCATAGTAAAAAATAATTTGACACAAAGACCCGATTCATTAAGTTCATTCTATAGAACCGTGTCATCTATAATTCATAGTTAAATAATTTTTTAATCACTTTTAATTTAAAAACACTCTTAAAATATCTCCATTAATGATGCTCTCTAATTCTCAAGTATACAATTAATTTACTACAAGTGCATTCAATGCTTCTCGTCATTGGGTCTTACAGTAGTTATGAATTTGACGGTAATTAAATTTACATTTCCTCGAACGACCATTTGCTTAAATGCATGAGTTGGTCTTCTTGTACTCCTACAGTCCTAATTCGAGTCCCGGTAGAAAAGATGTTTTGCGTTACGTCATAATTTATTAACAAAGGCTTGTCCAGTCCCGGTATAAACCGTTGAAATTCCAAAACCTTTGGCTCATAATCTCCTCGATGTCTAGATATTCGGAGGCAATTTTTGGATATTTCGATTTAAAGAATAACTCTCCGTATCAAAGGAGGTTTGAACTTGAGGCACAAGAAAAATCAACCCCTTATGTTACCACTAGGCTACCACATCTTTAGTTGTACGTGCTTTTGCATGGATGAATTGCTGGGAAAATCTCCTTTGGCAGTAAATAATTTTTCATACATTTCAACCATTGTATATATAAATATACATGTAGCGAAAACAATCTGCCATAGAAGTATTTACCCTATAATTCAACCATTGCGTCATCGCTCCATAATTTTAATGTATTATATTTTTGATTTATATAGCTTTGCGTATTAAGTAAATTTCGACCATAGGAAAACTATATATAGAGGAGGGGTGTATTTCATGCACATTTGTCTTATATACTAGCATATTCCGTGGACATATTGTGTATGCAGTATCGAACTCGAAACTTTCAGGAAAGCTTTCCGTACGCATAGCTTACCTCGCTTCAGGTATATTGCTATTATGCTATATATGTTTTTTGAAATCACTATAATAACAAATATGTAGAAATCCATAAATATATGTTACACAGTATTTTAGTTTTCTTTTGTGTAATACGTCACACTATTATTTTTAACTTATAACAGTGACAGACGGACCAGAAACCACAACAACAATCATATGGACTCTTGACCACCTAGACCAACTACTACATTTAATTATAGAGGCCTACAATATACTCATGGTCCCAAGCCCCGGCTCAAATATGGTTTTGTATAAAATTTTGAGATTCAAAACTAAAAAGT